AGATGTAGAATCCTTTAAGCTTTTTTTAATTTTGTGCAAATCGAAGGTGCTCTTCACGTACAGGTCGAATTTCCGATTAAAGATTAGCGATAGAAATTGCTTCTCCAGTGGGAGTTTATCCAGCCGCAGCAGCGCGGAGATGGCGCCTTCGAACCGCAACAACGAATCACTCACCAGCAGCACAAACAGCAGAGGGGCACACTCCAATAACCTCAGGGAAGCGGCACAGCGAACGAAGGATGGCGAAAAAGGAAAAGACAAAAGTGGAAAGACAAAAAAGACGAACAGGAAGAAGAGGAAGAGAAAGTACTACAAGGAAAGAGTCATCAATTTCACAGACCTCCCTGAACATTTTTTGAAAAAAATATGCTTTGACGAAATGGAATATTTCTACATGAATTTTGACAATGCATCCAAATCGATTCGTAGATCCCATTTCAACAGAGACGATTACAAGTACACGAATGGTAATCCATTTGGTCAGAAAAACGATTTATGTGGAACCGTCTCGGAGGACGAAGATAATAGGGACACCTCTTTCGATAGTACAAATGATAGCAACAAAACTGTTATGTACTTAGAAAACTATGGAAGTAATTCCGATGTTAATAGAACAAATGGGGGGAAGGGAAGTGGGGACTCCCTCAACTGTGATGCAGAAGCGGATAATCACAGCAACAAGGGAATATCCACCATGAATGACACCCTCCCTGTAGTTAAGCAGCCGGAGGGTAAGAGCCCCAGTGGGTACAAACATCTTCCAAATGGCTCATCGGGTGAGGACTCTAAAATGGTTGCAAAGAACGAAACAACAGTGAGGCACGATAGGGTGAGCGAGAAAATGAACGGAAATCGACAAGGCAAAAAATTGAGAAGCTCCCATTTGGAGGAGGAGAGCATCCCCCTTCTACACACGCAAGTTAGCAAAAATAAATATGCCAAATTTACAAAGAGGAAAAGAACCAAATATAGCGGAGGAGACGACACAATATCGATATACATGAGCGATACCGGGTGGGGGTGCATGATACGGGTCGTCCAAATGGTGCTAGCCAACATACTAATCAAGTACAAAGTCTCCAAAAAATATGCCTTCTTTCACAATACGAGTGATTACGCATTTTATAGAAATTACCTCAGAAAATCGTCAAATGAGCAGCAGGTGGGGGGTGGAGAGAAACCCATTGCCAAAAGTGAGGGAAATATAAATGCCTCTAACATAAGTTACCATGTTGAAAAGATGGCTGCACGAAATTACTGTGATGAGCAGATGAAAGAGGCCGATTATTTTATAACGGACGGAAAATCAGACGCACCTTACTGTTATGATAACAACTCCACGATGAGCACTTCTAGTAATTTCCCCCCTATGGAGAAGTTCCAAAGTTGTGAACGCACAAAAGTGGAAGGTGTTAACGACGGGGAGGTAACAACAGCAGGGTTATGCACCTCTTCATGCGCCTCTGCATCGAGGGGTAATGCCCCCCCAACAAGGGAACAAAGCGTATATCGCTATTTTAAGAATTACGCAATGTTTCTGAGCAGCGGGGGGGAGAGCGCCCCCCGGATGGACATCGAGAGTGCGGACGAAGTAAAGGCCGACGTAGCGCAACCCCCACGCATGAGTGCCGTTCGACACGTGAACGTGAACAACTCGCTGGCATACTCCGTGCTGCTGCAGTTCAGAGACATGGAAAGCGCCAAGTACTCCATTCAGAACATCATTTACGAAACCATGAAGTACAAAAAAGTTAGCCAAAAAAACATGGAGCATTTTGTGCATGAATGGCTTGGGCCCACCAGCAGCGCAGTTGTCATATCCAACCTCATTAACAGAAAGAAGGTCCTCTTTGTGAGAAAAAGAAGAAACAGAATTCCGATAAATCGTGGAAGCTGCTTGCCAACGGGTGATAGCTTCCTTGGAAAGAGTGAGTCCATCCTGGGGAGAGATATTTCCCCTGCAGATCGAGTCACCAACAAGAAGGAATACTTTTTTGTAAAGCGCAAAAAAAGACATGCCTTTTTCTCAGTCGCCTTTGACACGGGCGTCATATACAACAATCGAGTGTTAAAATTTTTTCAAATTAAGGAGAAAATATTAGTCATTATATGGGTGTGCCTAAAACTAGGGACTGATTCTTTTAACCTAGTGAAATATAAACAGTCTCTACTCTCCTGCTTTGGCCTAAAACAGTTCCAAGGAATAAGTAGTGGCAATGCACATACCAGTGCTCACTACTTTTATGCTGCAAATGAGAACGGCCTGTTTTACCTGGACCCTCATATAAAATGCCAAAGGGCCTTCACAGACTTAAATGAAAATTACGATACGGAATTTTTCACACAGAAGATAAAGTTTCTTCCCTGGGAGTATTTGAATTCGTCTTTATCGATGATATTCGTCGTGGACGTAATGCTATAAGTGAATTGTACTCATGCGCCTACATGTTTGAATACGCGCGGAGGAGAAATGAAGGATGCTTTCTATACCACGCCACCCAACAGGAGTTAATAATGCAGGATATATACTACATAATTTTTTTTTTTCCTTTTTGAGCGCAGTGTAAGGAGGACTATTTCAATTTAACCCAAAATTTGAAACTTATTGATCCAAGCATATTTGAAGTTTACGATGAGGAGCCACAATACACCATCAGGAGTGGTAATCTTTAAGATAACCGGCTAGGAGGGTTCACTTGCTGAATCGAGGCACATGTGTACATATATCGGCATATCTTTTTCATATAAACCCCTCATTCCAATTTCCTTTCACAGAATTAAACTACGACACGGACGATTCAGGACTAGTTCTTTTGTGATGCCGTTTTATTCTGTGTTCATAATTTTGAAGTCCCACTGGTGCGTCCTTAACCCATTGGAGAGAAGGTGTGCAATTTTAATTGGTTTTCTTAACATGCAGATGATTAATGAGTACAGAAAAAATAAGAACAAAGAAAAAAAAAGACAACGATGTTTTTGCGAAGGGGTAACCTCTTTTTTTTAAGTTCTCCCACCTACAGTTGATTACTTTTTCGTAAATTTGTCTGCCCCTTTTGGGAACCCACTTTAGTATCAATTTTTTTTTTTTTGTTTTTTTTTTTTCCACCCTACGGGTATAACATCACATTAACATAAGTTATATTAATTTGTGACATCGCGCAGTTTCCCTCCATTTTGAACTTACCTTGCCAACCTCATCATGATTAATATTTTTCTTTTTTGTCCACATTTATTCATAAATGTGATCCTTTTAATGGTTTGCCAAGGCGCTTTCGAGAATGAATAAGGCTTCACAGAATTTATTCCTCAGTGGCAAGCTCGCCTGTGCAGTTTTGGCAACATCTTGGCCTTGGAAAGGGTTTATAGCCACCTTACGCGAAGTAGTATATTTGGCAACGCGAAAATAAATCGTGCATTTTCCGAGGTTATAATGGGATCTCATGGGGGGGGATGAACTTCTGCTTTGGCAATGGAACACATGGACATTGACTCACTCGCTTGGCGGGCTCCCGTCATCCATTTTGTCAGCATTTACCGATAACCATTACTGCGGGCGCCTACATTCGCCGGCAGTGCATTTAACGCAGGGGTTCACCCCCTCCCCGGAGTCAGCCTTTTTTTTTTTTTATAGACATGCACAGTGACACGAAGGGGAAAATTTAACGGACAAATGAACAACCTTTTTTTATTCATCCGAAGGGAACACGTACATTGTCAAAAATTGTACATACATTATGTCATTGTGGTTTCATTTGGCCCACTCTTTTTTTTCTTTTAAAAAACATTATAAACATCTGATCAGTGTAAATGCTATAAACGCCGTGAACACGTCAAATGTACCAATAAATCTGTTAACATTGCTGACGATGCTCACTCAAGTTTGCTTTTAAAAAAAATTTAATGTTTGACCAGTGCGGCAGAATTTCTGCTGACTCGTGTAATTTTCCCAAAAGTGTCATTTTACACATTTTATTTTTTTCCTGCAAAATTGTTCTATAAACAATTTTTAAAAAAATGCGCCAACGGGGGCAACTGATTCAAAATGTAAGCAAGGTGTGAGGGAACAAAAAAAAAAAAAAAAATCGTGTGCATTTTAACTCAACAGAGAAGACCACTTTATAGAGGAAGGGCCTTATGATGAGCGAAGTGAAGCAACTGTGTATAGCGGAGTAGCCAGGCTTCGTAGAACAAAGCTTAGCAAGGGAACCGAAATGTTTTTCCAAGCTGGAAACACACTCGCACAGCATAACTTAGCGTAGTGTATAACCCCACATGAGACAGGCAGACATGGATGATCTCGAATCGAGAGCCATAGAAAACATCCACGATTACCTGAAGGAGTGCCTGGACAGAAACAACTGCAAGGCTGATCCGGCGGGGGCAGAAAGAGATATAAACGACGTCTCGCTCATACACAGCTCGTTAAAAAAGTACGTCGTGCGACTAGCCAACATCAACGATTTCATCAAGCAAGAAAACTACTTTTTGAGGAAAAAAAATGAACAACTAGTTAAGAGGTGTAATGAAAGGGATGCATTCGATTTTTACAAAAATGAGAAAGGGGCTGACAGGGTCCATAAAACGCATGGGCCGCCCGACACACACGGGACGCATACCATGTGCATGAACGAAATCCACAAACTGAGTCACGAAAACGAGTTTATAAAATACAAATATGAACAAATCCTTCGGCAAAACCTCTCGCTGCAAAACAATAACACCCAGGTGAACAACACGCTGCTAAACAAAGCTAAAGCTAAACAACACAGAAATGCGCGAAACAGAAATGTGGAAATAGGAAATGACTTCCTAAGCGAAAGACCCAACCACTTATTGCCATATCAAGAGGAAGGACGAAACATGTTGAGAAGCAGAAATGGAAAGGACGGGGAAACACAACCAGCTGAGGTAAACTACATGACGTTTGAAGAAAAAATAAATAGAATCCTAAAGTGTACAGAAATTTTGGACGAAATTTTAGCCATCCTTAACAACAATTTGAAATATGACGAACCACTTATGTTCCAAAAGAAGATGAACATTATGGAAGTAGAAAAAGAAGAATTAATAAAGCAAAATGATCTTTTAAAAGAAAAGATTTTACAAATAGAAACCTTTATTTTGAATGATCCCTTTTTAGTGGAAAAGTTTAATTTCTTCTACGATTCCACTTCGTTCAATTCTAACCCCTCGATAAGGGATAGCCTCCAGTTGTACAAAAATAATAGCAAAGAAATGATGTTCCACAATTTGCGCTGCTCGGAAAGTGCAAATGCGGACCTGAAACAACAGTTATCAAATGAAAAAAAAAAATCGCATATTTACCGAACATACATGTATGACATGAAAGAAAAGTTAAGGGATGAGCTAAATGAACTGTTCAGATTGAATAGAGAGCAAAATAGAAACTATCATAATTTGAATCGATGCGACGATTCGATCCGCCATTTTAGTGAAAAGGGGAGTCCATCCCCGTGGAACATATTCTACCATGATAGCAATAACGAGGACGAAGATGATGTCTCAAGGAAGGAACACCCAAAATATTACAACTACTTGTCTGACTTGAGCACATCAGATTTTTACCGCATGTTTAAAATGAATACCTCCAAAATTGAAGATAACGAGCAAATGTTGGCCCAGTCGTGGAACCCGATTAGGGAGTTGGGCCAGGACGCCGCTTCCTTCGAGGTATGCCCACATGTGTAAACGTTACAGACTGCATGGCGTATTCAGTGTTCATTAGCGAAAAGGGGGCTAAACGGTAAAGCAATTGCTATGACTGCTCTACCGCTTGGTGAATCCTCCTAAAATCTTTGCGCCTCTACGTTATTTACATAGAGAGGCGCTTGGACTATCCGTTTTCCTCCCTGCACCTCCATCTAAGTGGTGCCCAAATTGTGCTCACATGTGTTACACCTTTACTTGCGTCTTTTTTGCGAAACCACTTTAACATTTCCGCCTGTACGCACCTCATGCTGCCATTCTCACACATACCTGAGACAACCTCCCCCCAGTTGGTATTCACCAAAAAGGGCATACTCACATTTGTGTTTTTTTTGAAACCCTTTTTCTTTTCACACAAAATATGATGCTGATCTAACACTATTGGCAGTGCCATTTGTCTTAATTTTTCAAATCAACGTGGTCAATTCTGCAGAAAAAAAAAAAAAAAAAGGCGCTCTTTTTTGCGTATGTTAAAATGTTGCATAGTTGCTTATGAAGATTAATGTGTCCCTTTTTGTGTGTTCCTCCGGATAGAGATAAATATATGCATGCATAAGTCGGCTCTTCTGTTGAGGAGCAAATAGCCAATGTGCACGGCTCGACTGAGGGGAGGAATATTTTTATAAAATGCCTTTTGATGAGGAATACCCTGCAAGTGCGTACTTATGTATAGCATACATGTTGCACATTTCGTATTTTTTTATTGTGCTTTTTTTTTTCTTTTCGGCTCCTTTAGGGGAAAACTGGGTTTTGCAAGTGCCCTACCCCCCCCCAAGCGCCACAATTTGGGTGCAAATTCCAGTGTGTTCGTAGATGGCCAGTTGCACTTGTCTCTACGCAGATACGTATTGGGGAAACATCAAAGCTCCTCGTAAAATGCGATTTTTCGATTCTTGCTATTACGAGGGAGTTTTTTCAACGTCTCAAATTTTAAAACGTTAACACTATATATTTAATACCAATTTCTCCCCCTTTTTTTTTAATTAGAAGAGGAAATATGAACAAATCTGCAGAGAAGACGAACACGATGCCAGTCCGGCCGAGCTCGAAAGTGACATGCAAAATGAAGTATACTACTTTAGAATAAAAAAATTAATAAGCATGAGGAAGAAGGAACTGGATGCAATGTTACAATCGGGAGAAGGCCAAATGCCTAGCCAAAAGAAAAAAGAGGACGACAAGAAATTGAAGAATGAATTGTATTTAAATCGTATGGAATACAAGGCATCACTCCGTGAATGGTTAAAAGGAAACCAAAGAGAATTACACAGAGGTGACGGTCCTAGGAGGATTCCCCATAGAGACCCCCCCTGTGGGAGCAAGGACATTGACCAATTCAATCTCTACATCAAGCGAAAAATCATTTATCAGTTGGTAAAATACAAACACATCTACGAGTATTTAGTACAAAATAAAAGTGTATGTAAAAACCAGATAGACAAAGAGAAATTTATGAATTTTTTTAACAAGCACATTTTGAATTTCCAAAATTGTGACACTGCACAGTGTAGTAATAAAGGGACTCCTGGCGATGGACAAAAGAGAGTCACTAAATCATGCCAGAAGGGGAAAATCCTCCATAAGGATGACGCCAACCAAAAAAGGGGAAGTGCTTATGTGGAGGAGGACAGTACTCAGTATCATGACGTTACTTTGCAGGATTGTTCAAGGCGGGGCAGTCACCATTCTGAGGAGGGCACCCTGAGGAGTCATCACCCCGGTAAGGAGCGAGCAGAAGCCACAGGCGAGAAGGAGGGGCATGCCAAAAGGGAAAAACAGAGGCAAACCAGACGGGAAAGACAGCGAGAAATGGAAAAGGAGAAACAGAGGCAAGCCAAACGGGAAAGACAGCGAGAAATGGAAAAGGAGAAACAAAGGGAAGCAGAGCAGGAGAAACAGCGGGAAATAGAAAAGGAGAAAGAAAGGGAAGCAGAGCGGGAGAAGCAGAGGGAAATAGAAAAGGAGAAAGAAAGGGAAGCAAAGCGGGAGAAGCAGCGGGAAATAGAAAAGGAGAAACAAAGGGAAGCAGAGCGGGAGAAGCAGCGGGAAATAGAAAAGGAGAAAGAAGGGGAAGCAAAGCGGGAGAAGCAGCGGGAAATAGAAAAGGAGAAACAAAGGGAAGTAGAGCATGAGAAGAAAAGGAAAATAGAAGAAGAAATGGAGAAGCAGAGGGAAATAAAAGCAGAGCAGGAGAAACAAAGGAAATTAGAGCAGGAAAAGAAGCGGAAAATAGAAGCAGAAATGGAGAAAGAGGAGCAGAAGAAAATAAAAGCAGAACAGGAGAAGCAGCGGGAAATAGAAGCAGAAGTGGAGAAAGAAGAGCAGAGGAAAATGGAGAGAGAGAAACAAAGGGAAAAAGAACGATCGCGCCAAGTGGACGGGGACCCACCCACCACTGAGGACCAAGCGGGCGAAAGGGAGATGGAAAACCAAAGGGAAGTTGAAATCGAATCGAGTGATAAGAGCGAAGGGGAAAAAATGAAGAAAGGAAATTTAAAAAAAAATGATGAAATGTCAGAAAAATTCTACATGCGAGCAGAGCATCCCAGGAGACATGACTCCTCCCTAGAGGTGTTAATAAATACTATTAAAAATATAAACAAAAAAAAAATAGGGAAAAATATGACCAGTGAAAATGTAAAAGGTTCGTTTTCTCCTACCCATTCGATGGATGAAACGGGTCGAAGTAGTCTTATTGAGGAGTCTCCTCAAAACGAGAGAAGAGCATCGAATTTGAGTAAAAAGGATAGCATCCAAGGTAGCCTAGAGTCCATCAAATCGAGTAAGTCATTGGGTGTAGAACCCATCGAACGGGAAATTAACCACAATGAGGGAGGAGCAAGTGATCGTCAAGAATTTAGTTTAGACCACGCCCAATTAGATGCTGCCAACTCAGTTGATGCGGAAGATGGGAAGAAGAGCCGATGTTCTAATTTGTCAAGTGAACCGGAGAAGGAGTATCACATGGAGGGAGAAGCTAACCCAGAAGAGGATATCAATAGGGGTGGACGGGAAAGCCACTTGGGTGCCGCGGCACGGGTTCCAAAACGGCGAAGCGTTAGGGGCAAGACTGTCTTCGGCGGATCGATCCCCCTAGACGAAATTAAGAGGAGCATCACCATGAGGGGTGCAAGCGCGTCAGAATTGATACATCCGGAGGAGGATGCACAAATGGGAGATGGCCAAAGGGGACCGGGGAAAGATAGCGATGAGGAGAGATCACGAAAAGATGACGTTCTAGAGGAGCCTAATAAAGAGTGCGACCAGAATGAACCCCCCAAAAATGTTGATAAGGGTGGCCCCCCCAAAGATAGCGATGAGAAAGAGCCACGAAGAGATAACGTTGTAGAGGAGGCTAATAAAGGGTGCGACCAAAAAGGAATCCCCAAAAATGTTGATCAGGTTGGACTCCCCAAAAATGCTGATCCGGGTGGATCTCTCCAAGACGGTGAAACCACGCCCATTAGCCACGCAACCGACAAGAGAGAGAAACCATCCCCTAAAGGCTTCCACAATGAGAGCTTCCTCGAATCGGGGAGCGAAGTCTCCGAACAAGACGTCTTCGAGAACAACAAATATGCTAATGTAAAAATTGAGGCGTTAAGAGAAATGCTTCATCTCCACGATGAAAATGTCTATACCTTTTTCATGAACCTAATTGTGCATAGCAAGATTAACCTAGTGAGGGATTACAAAAATAAAGTCTTAAACGCGAAGGTAAAGGCAAGTGATATATTAGAGTACCTTTTAAAAAATTACTCCGAAGCGGATAAGTTTGCTGCCAAAAGGGAAGTGAGAAAAGGAGGTTCAAACACACAAGTGCACCTAAGCGAAGTGGAATTCAAGCACATTAATGAGTACATATGCAACAACAGCAATAGCACTTCTCTAAAAACATTATACCACAAGATACTCTTTTTGAATAAAGAAAACTACGGAAGTTTTAAGAGTCGTCTGCTGGAAGGTGGGGTTATAAACCTAATTAACCTTTTCCACGATGAAGATATTAACAACTTTGATAAAATTTTCGACGTTTCTTTTGTTAACTTCTGTGATATTATGGGAATATCGAAAGACACATGCACATACCATTTTAACCATATGGATAGGAACTACAAAGGGAAGGGATACATTTATTTGAGGCACATATTTCGGTATCTGCAGCTGGAAATGGACATGAAAGAGGAGTTACACAAATACAACTTCGTTTCCATGCAGAAAAAAAATTTAATTTATATTAATATCAGCGAGTCTTTTGATAACTTAAATGAATTTTTCAAATGTGTGGAGAAGAAAAATAACTTGTACATCAGCCTGAACGAGTTTATTTATTTCTTTTCTGAAAATGAGAAAATGGAGACTTACTCTTATTCCCAGGAGGATGTGACGTGTTTGTACTACTCCATCCTCTTTTATGTGTACTATACGAATAAGAACAAGGTATTGCAGACGTTACAATTTTGTGGGGAGCATGGTGGGGGGGGACAAAATGACCCTTACAAGATTGGTCCAATTGAGGAAGGTTACCGTAATAAGAACAAGCAACCCAGGGCACACCCCTCCGTTGGTATAAACCCACTTGTTGATCAAAATAGAGAGAACAGATTAACCCCGGATGATGGATACAATTATGTTGATCAGAATTTGTCTCTCTACAAGGAGTATTTTTCCCTGGACGATTTCAATTTTGCCATCGAGCTGAAGGATCTTTACTTTTACTTCGAGGGCTTCGAGTGCCCCTTTTCTAAAATAAAGCGGAGGATTGTGGAGATTTACGGATCAGTTAAAAGTGGACTGATAATCAGCCACGAGATTTGCAACAGCGAAAGGGATGGAGATGACGGCACGAGTAGCTCCCAGAGCGATCACGATGCGGCAGATCTGGACGTGGACTTGCAACTTGACTCCTTCCAGTTGTTCATGCGGAACGAATACAGGTATAAGCACTTCGACCGGGTTTCCTTCCACGAGCGGGAGGCGAAGCAGGGAAAACAGGAAAAATCGCAGAAGGTGGGCAGAGTGACCAAACTGGATAGGGAAGCCCAACTGGATAGCGAACCCGAACCGGACTCCCTGGACGCAGTCCCCCCAATCAGCAAGAAAACCTTCATGTGCCTGATGTACAACATAGGGATACACGTGGACCACTGCCTGGCCCTGTGGAACAGCTTCTCCCCCTTTCTGGAGTACGACAAGCTGGACTACAAAATATTCTGCGGGTTCTTAAACGGGAAAATAACCGCAGAGAGCCACGAAACGGAGGAAGACATAAACAAAATTAGAAGGAAGCTAATAAACACCAAGGAAGAGAAGGAAGAGGACTCCATGAGGAATTACAAAAACAGGCTGGGGGGAACCATCTCCTCTCGCCTACTAAACATCTTAAGCGAAAAGGATTCAACACAGCCGCTCACAGTAGACGAAATAGAGGTTCTGGCGCAAGTGTTGAATCATGTCATCCCGTTCAATTTTTTGGACAAAAATGAAAAGAAAAATTTCATACAAAAGTTAAAAAAAAAATGTTTTAAAAAGGGCCACGATTTTGTGTCCCTAGGGGGGAGACACGTAAAAATTGGAGAAAAAGAGGAAGGGGAAGAGAAAATCTCAAACGGGGGAACACCGGTTAGTGCATACCAAAACAATACCATCTTTATCCTGTTGAACGGAATTTTAAGACACACCACGGAGCCTAACTCCTTCATAAACAGCATCAACGTGATTGACAGGGCCATCGTGCGCTCCTACACGGCACACACAAATGTCGCCGTGATTGAGGTAAATAAGGAGCTATACACCAGCGACTTCATGAAGCTAGTGGAACAGAAAAGAGAAGTTTCGGAAGAGTTTATGAGCATTATCAATGACGTACCCATCTTTAAAAATTTCCCAGACGCTTTAAAAAATAGCCTATCCATGAATGTTCAAAAATGTGAATATAAGAAAAAAAAAGTTATCATAAGACAGCATGACGATCCCACCCATTTTTACATATTGAAAGAGGGGGAAATACATTTCTACTGTAACAGTGTGATGAGCACCCCGGTACGGATCATCTCTAGATGCTCCTTTTTTGGGGAAGTAGCTCTCATATTTAACACTCTCAGAACGTGTGACGCGGTGGTCGAGTCGGATGTAGCTCACTGTTACTGTATTTCGAAGGAGTACTTCCTTTCCCTCTTGAATAAACAAATTGTGAAAGAATTCGTCGAATATTTACGAACCAATTACACGGAGGGTATTGAGAACATCGTTAAGAATTACTCAAGTGGAAACATAGCAGCAGAATGGGCGCCGCTTCAGGAAGACAACAATGAAGTGAATCATCCCAAAGGAGGAAACATCCTGCAGAAGGTACCCTCCGATGGAGACGAAATGCTGATTAAGCTGAAACGATCGAGTTCGAAAAAAGACACAAACCAGCTCTCCCCAGGTGGTAGCCTAAATAGAGACTTCTCCTCAGTAACCCTCTCAGGAGACAACATGACGTTGGATGTAGAGTACATCAACCAAAGCAACATCAGCTCATTCTACAGTGACCTGGATAAAATTCTCCTAAAAATTTTCAACACAGAACAGAAATATTTTGTGGAAGAAATGGAATCCCACTTGATGAAAGTTAAGGTATTAAAAACGGTCCTAAACAACATGAAGGATAAAGAAACATTTCTTAAAAATCTCAAGTGGGAAAAATGTCCCAAAGGAAAGCACATCATATTGGAAGGTGATTTCTTCGACAAATTTTACTTCGTTAAAGAAGGAGAAATATCCGTACAGCAATTTAATCAGTACAAAAATGTGTATGAGGAAATATCCACAGTTAAGAAAAATCAATACTTTGGTCATCAGTTAATTTTGAATAAGACAAAGGCCTGCTTCATTGCGGTGGCCTCCGTGGACACAGAACTGTACACGTTAGAGGCATCCCTGTATGAGCAATTCCTTGCCCCCTTTATCAACATGCTGAACAAAACAAAGGATATTAACTACACGGATGATCTAACAGAGACTATAAACAAACACGTGATGATGAAGAAGGATAACGACTTTGTAATAAAAGTCATAGGAATTCTAAAGAAGGTAAGTGTCATTCAGAAATTAAATGACGACCAAATGTACAATGGTGCAAAACATTTCAATTTTAAATTTTTCAGAAAGGGAGCAGTCATAATAAAGCACAACGACACCCCTGACCATTTTTACGTCATAAAAAAGGGAATAGTTTCCGTTAAGGTGGACGACAAAGAGGTGGAAGATGTCGTTGAGCATAGGAACAATCTGCCTAGTGCCGATAACAAGCAAGAGGAACAATCTACACACAGAGGTGGAAGAACAAAATCGGTGTACTTGTACAAGTATGACTACTTCGGAGAATTGTCCATTATAAATAATCAACTGAGAACTGCCACCTGTGAGGCTCACACGAATTGCTTCATACTAGCCATTGATAAGGTCTCCTTTATTGAGCACTTTGGAATAATATTTAATGAGCTGCTACAGGAAGCGGACGTCAGGTACACGAAGAATTACAGCCTTCCGCCGTGGCTGAAATCCATGTATGGTAATGGTGAGTTTAACGAGGACATACACTCTATGTCGATGAAGATCCCGGAACTGGGGAGCTCTGTCAGCAGCATTTCCGACGATAGCAATGAGATGTTCAGCTTCGAGAAGGAGATAAATGCCAAGCTGAAGAAGGAGAGGCGCAACAAGAAGAAGGGGCGGGGGAAGCTAAAAGGCGGTAACGCAGACGACGAAGACACGGATGAGCGACCCCTTGCGCAAAGTGAAAGCGAAGTCGGAGACGCCAATTCGAGAAACCTCTCCACCAATCGTAGCCTAAGCAATGTGAACAACGAAGAGAGGATTAGCAAAATTAAGGAGGAGAAGAGGCAGAAAATAGAAGAAATTAAGCTCAACGAATTGAAGGTGTTAGAACGGATAAAGCAGAAGGAGGAGAAAAAAATCAACGCTTTCATGAAGAAAAAGGGAGTATTCCTCCAAGGGAACAACGCAAAGGAAGACTTAAACGCCGCTAAACCCAGAGAAAATGCGACGGATGACCAACAAAAGGGTGCCACTGCGGAGGAGGAAAAAGTGATAACCCCAAACCCTGAATCAGACAGGAACGAAAACCAAAGCCAATCATCGAAAGATAAGCAGCCAAGTTCCATGCAACATAAATCGTCGAGTATTTTAAAAAAAAAGATCACTCCATCGAATTCTTCCGAGCTGAAGGTAGACAAAATGGTGAAGAAGATCCTCGGGGTTATCTGCTCAGAATACAATTCCATTTTTCACTTTTATGAATGCATAGACAAGTTCAACACTGGATACATAAAATACAGCGACTTCTTAAATTTTATCGTGTCCCAAAATCTGGAGGAGTTATTCGAAGGGAGAGACAATATGGAAAATCTGTTTAAGTATCTCTGTGATGGGAAGGGCATCTTAACATTAACAGAGTTTTACAGAAATATGTACAGAGAGGAAGACATCGACATGTACTCACTGAATTTACGCCTGTGCGAAGTGTACGGAAGCAGTCAGTTAGCGTTTAAGAAGATAGTTACTCAATTCAGCGCACAAGAGGATAGTCCTTGCAGCTTTTCCAACTTCGAACTAGTGTGCGATAGCGTAGGGGTGAGCAAAACGAATTTAAAAAATATTTGGGATGAGATTAACATAATGAATGAGGAGCAGATTCCCCTAGAAATTATATTTAGCATTCTCAATGGAGAAGTTTCCGTGGAACAGGCCTACGTGGCTTACAATGAGAAAAAGTCGCTGCTAAATCAGGTTGTTCACTTTTTCCAAGGCGATGAAGAAGACCTCAGAAAAATGAGTACCCAAGTCATGGAAACAAATTTTAAGATAAATTACGAAGAGCCAATAATAATTAATAAGGGTCATCATAAATCCTGTTCTAATGAATGTCAACACGTGGTAAACCTGTTACAGTTTGATATACATTTTAAATACTTAACACTGGACCAGAGAAAATTCTTTGCAACTTTAATGAACCGGAACGTTATGAACTCGGGAGATGTCGTAACCAACCAAGGGGATGATGATGCGGCTATTATATTCCTCTACCAGGGGACTGCCAACATAATTAGCCACAACATTTTTGGAATTGAAACTGTGATTAGAGAGCTTCAAAATGAAGAGTTGTACGGCTGCTATGAAGCTATTCAAGGGACACCGGCAGATTATCAAGTAAAAATATCCTCCGATAATGCTATCGTTTGGATCTTAGACAGATCATCCTATAATGAGCACTTAAAAGAAATGCTAGAAGAAAGAAAACAAAACTGCTTGCATATTTTTGCCTTACTGAAAAATGTACCCATTTTGAGATACCTCCCAGAGGAAACACTCCAAAATCTTTCCTACGCAATGAAGGTTGAGCATCACCAACCTAACCATACCATCATAAAGGAGAATACACATGATGATAAGTTTTACGTCATATGTAAAGGTCTCGCAACTGTTGAAAAAAACTCCGAAATTAATAAAAACAGACTTATTCTGTCGACCCTTCGAAGTGCAGATTACTTTGGAGAAATGGCCTTAATAAAAAATATCAGACGAAGTGCAAATGTCGTTTTAGACACGCAGACCATTTTGTTGTCTCTTGTTGATGTGGAATTCCACAGATTGTTAACTCCCTACTTTGATCAGTTTTTAAACAGAGCTAAAGCCAACTATAAGAAATTGCACTTGGACATCCAACTCATGCCCGCGGAAATTGCCACAATTAGCAGCAACCCCAATATTGGAAAAACGGCCTGCGGTAGGAGCGCACAGAAAAAGGTCACCATACAAGGATTTGACGAGGGGGACAGCCCTGTGGAGGATCCATGGGGTAAGAAAAAGGGCGAAGTCAGCTTCGCGCAATCTGCCGAGGAAGCACCACTGGAAGGGGAAACAACCCAGAGGAGAAGGAACAGTCACCAGGGGGATAGCAAAAAGGGAGATCACAACAAAAACACTGGCAAGTACAAAGATAAGGGGCTGAGCAGAACTAAGAAGGGGAAAGAGCACGGGTTCCAGGGGGAAGGGGCAGAAGGTACCGAAAAGAAGAAAGAGAGAGAAAAAAAAAAAAAAGATGCACACAAGTGAGGGGGTTCCAAGAGGAGGCGAGTTGAAATTGTGAAGAGGGCACTCTTCCTCCCTTTGGCAGGAACCACTGGCATAGATTTCGATGGAGAATCAACAAAATGAGTATCCCTTTGCACACACATATAAATATCCAATTGAAGTATGACTATAGTGCTGTTGTTAGTGCCCCCGTTTTTACGCAGCTGTTGAAAAGTTTAGCTAAGGATTATCTCAATAAAAGGGTACTTCCCTATTCTGGCACATTAGAGGATGGCGGAGAGGCAGATCTTCGGGATGGTAAATAGGAGTCTCCCTATTTTACTCTTTCGTTACATCTGTATGTATGTATATATATATACATACACATGTACCTTTGCACGTTAACCGTTGCACCATGGTTGCCCCTGCCACGATCATGGCCGAATGTACAAGGCGCGCTTACATTGGCCGTAGGATACTGTTTTGGTTTTTTTTTGTCCTCTTGTTTCGTAATCCCCCCCTTTAAAGGAATGGCACGTTTTGCACAATTTTTTCGTTTTACTCTCTAACTGCAAACTTCGTGCGAACTTTTTTGAGAACCTGCGTGTAAATTTTTTAAAAGTTTTTAATCAAGTCGGTACTGCCGCTGGGATGTAGCCTCCCGTTCATCGACGCAAAAAAAGGGGTCATATGGTAAAATGTAGGCACCCCGGGGGTAAGCAGCCGGTGGCAAGCAGCTTTGCGTGATCGCTGGGCGTTGGTTAAATATGATCTGTTTTTTACTTATTCTGTTACCCATAGGTAATGGGTAACATGTTACCTTCTTGGCAAAGCAGCTGCGTAAAAAAGCTGCAGTTTGAACCCCCCTTGTAGAGTGAACTTCATGGAACCATTTTTAGTGCCCTCTTGCTGCACGGCGAAAAGGGTCACCTTGCGCGTTGTCTGCCACATCTACGGTTCAAATGTTTTAAATTCAAAATGGAGTTTTTCTTTATGTGTGTCTCTTAAAGGTTCGGAGAAAGGGGGCACACTTGAAAAAGAAGAAAACGCGAAGGGTAGGGGCGACATGCTAAGGGACAAAATGCAGTAAGATAGGAATGACGCGTCACCAATTAGGCCTCTCATCACTATACAAACATGTACACATAAAAAATTGTCGCAAGGGCGAATACACACACATACACGCATGTATCTTTATATACACAGGTGCCCATGCGTCATTTGCAAAAAACTCCTAGCGATCCCCGCGGCGGCATTACTGAAAAATGGGTTCCCCCTCGGGAACACGTAAAATCGGGTTTCGCCTCTGGGGACAAGACACATATGTGTGCCCATGGAGAAAGTTACATGTTTTACTCGTCAGTAATGTGGACTTAACTGAACTTAATTTTTTTTCCTCTTCTTTTTCACGACCCCCGAGTCGGACTGCTCACCTGCGTTGTTGTCATTCTCCTCTGCCCCTTCACTATCCTTTTTTTTTTTACTTTCGCCGTCGCTTAAATTGAAAGAGGAACTTCCCCCCACGGGGTTATTATTTTCACCCAGCACATTCTTCCCATTTTCTCGCACCTCATTGTTGTTACTGTCATCCGTGTTGAGCGTATAAATGGCCGTGTCACCAACCAGTTTGGGAACGTAACCTTCACTTTTGATCCAACTTAGCGGTGTTTTTTCATTGGGCTTTCCGTACTTATCAAGCAACCCAGCAAGGATTAATTTTTTTTTTTCCATAGATCTGGTACCATAACCCCACTTCACATCGTAGGTGTCTCTATCCATAATAACTCGTTTCGTGAGAGAAACAACACCATGGTCAACAGTGGCAATGACACTTGACGTCATTTGAGCAATTGCCAAAGCAACTGCTTCACCTTTGGTCGTCATTAAAACAATTTCAGCTGACACATCAATATTATTATCGAATCTTAAAACCCCAGGGATGGTCAATTTAGCACCATAACATATGGCATTGACTGCACTGTCTTTTATAACTATCCTGGGGAAGTTTATCAGGAGCTTCTCTAAGGGGGTGATAATTTTCCTCAAGTAGGTTTCATCCCCAGTTGTATCGTACACATGTTGGGCATCCAAAATATCATGTAGGGTACACATATTGTCGTACTCTGTCATATTTCCTGATTTGACTCTTCTCAATTCTTGCATGTGGGCTCCTACTCCTAGGAGCAGGCCTATATGCTCGCACAACGTCCTTATGTAAGTTCCTGCTTGACATTTCACCCAAAATACACATACATTATTAGCATCATCATAATCTAACAATTTGGAATCATAAATGGTTCTCACTCTTAATTGTCTTTTTACGGCACAGATTAATGGAGGCCTTTGGAAAATAGCCCCATGGAAGTTATTTAGCACTAGCTTCACTTCTTCGAGACTTTTCGGCTTGGAATGAAATTTACATACACATACGTATTCCTTTCCGGATTCCTGCTGCGATTTTACCAACCTGGTTGCTCGGTTTAAACATACAAGTAATACACCCGTCACCTTGGGGTCTAAGGTACCACTATGTCCTGTTTTTTCGCACCTTAGAATTTTTCTTATCCAAGAAACTACTTCATGCGAGGAGGGGTTACTGGGTTTATCCAAGTTTATGATCCCATATTTTAGATACTCTTCTAAATTGCGCGAGTAGGGAGAGTTTCCCATTGGTAGGGGCGTGAAATGGGAACTTCGGATGTTCAGTTTGTCATAGTTCTTTAGCAGGAGTGGCCAATTTGATGTATCTATAACTGCTTCTTTTCTCTCCGATTCGATTTGGCAACTAGCCTTCCCCGCTGCCTCTCCCATTTTACTTTCTATTACGGGTGCTGATATTTTAACGGGGATGGTGCTGCCTCCTGCTTCTACGTGTGCGCATGAGATGCATGCCAACGCGTTCGCAGTTGTGTTGAGGGGCGTATTTTCCTAGGCTCGTGGTACGCGGATTGTGGGCAGATTGTCGGCGGACTCTATGCGCATATGGACCCTCCACAGTTCCTTACCCTGCATGTACAAAAACAAGGGATGCTTCTGCGCGATTTAATGCAAAAAAAGGAAGTCAACCGTTTGCCCTTCAAGTTTCAACAGGGGCGAACAACTACACCAGCTTTCATTTGTAACATGCTGGCATTATTTTCCCCCAGATCATGCATCTCCCGCCACAGTTGGGTTAACCTCCGTCGTGTTGTTATTGAGTTTTTTTTTTTGTATTAACCAATATAGCAGATGCCTGATTTGATGGCTTCCATTCGTTGATCGAAACTAAAAACTGTCATTTACAAAATGTTTTTTTTTTTTTTTTTTCCTTTTGCCTGGCAAAATTTTGCCTCATATTTTGTTCGTCGTTTGGTCGTGGTGAGGGGCAGTAGTGGTTAATGGCGACTTAAAAAGGGACAACAAAAATGACATAATGTAACAAGTTTTAAATAGCGACTTCGCAACTTACGAACGGGTGAATTTCATTTTTGCAGTCTCTAGCATATTATGGGCGCACCCTTCAAAGATGCAGTTATCATTTTTTCAATTTTACGGGGAAAAAAAATGAATATAACAGAACTCCGTTTGCAGCGAAGAAATAATTATTCTGCAGCGTTCCAGGGTCATCCGCCTGGGCGGTCACTGAAAAACAACATTCACTCCTCCAATTTAAATGACCCAAAAGTATATATGTATGTAACTATATAAACATATGCGGTTGAAACGGTAAAATGCAGTATGCCTCGCTGCTATGCTGAAACAACGCCGCTTTTTGTTTCTTACAAGAAATGCAACATCGTTGGAGCGCCCGTGTAAAGGCCACCTTCGTAAAACAATATTAGCGAATTAGCGCAACGTTGAAATATTAATTGATAAAACAGGTTCTGCATGTAT